TATTCCTTCTTCATTTGAGAACATGGAACAGAAAAATGTAACACGAGTGAAAAGAATAAATGATGAAAATAGTATAATGCAAAAAACTTGATAAAAGTGTGAACGAGAGATAGAGTGGAGGAAAGAAGAATGAAAAGAATAAAGAAGAGAAGGCTGGAATTAGAAGAGGGAAAGGAAGAGAAGAGGAATCAGGAGATGGACAGGACGGGAAGAGGATTTAGGAGAGGAAAAGGAGAAGAAAGAAAGGAAATAAATCAGAAGGAAACGGGGCAAAATAGAGAAGAAAAGGGAGAGCGAAAGAAGAAAGAGAGAGGAAAGAAGAAAAAAAAACGAAATGAGATCGAGAATAAGAGACATAAGAGAATGAAAAAAAGAAAAGAAGGGGAGAAAAAACGCCAAGTCGAACGAACGAAGAAATGGAAGAAAAACAAAGAAAACAAAGAATATAGTCATAAGGAAAACAGAAATAAAATAATGGGAGTAGGAAGAAATTTGACACGAACGAAGGGAACTATAAATAAAATATTCTCAGAGAAGGGGAGAAAGTTGAAACAACTCGAAATTCAATCTGCCAAATTCTCCTATTTCTACGAAATCTATTCAGAACGCAATTCAGATTCGCTTGACATAAGACAAACATCTGCTTTTCTTGAAGACTACCGTAATTTTAAGCCCTGGAAATAGGTTTACAGGTCGTAGTATAGCGTTACATTGCCCTTCGAGTCCTGTAAAATGCTCATTCCCTAACAGGTTCACGACCTGCCCGAGTTCCTGCGAGGCGGAGTGAGGGACCAGACCACCCATGTCATCGTCAGGTTCCGCTCGTCAAGGAGGGCGTCCCTAGCTAAGGCTAAGGTGCGGCGCTCCACCGTCGAGGAACCCAGGTGAGGGGCGCTGGGGATTCGTGCGCTTCTTCTGTTTGTTTGTCAGTCTCTCTCTCTATCTATTTCTTTTTTTTCTCATTCTCTCTGTCTGTTTATGTGGCAGTCTCTCTCTCTATCTATCTATCTATTTCTTTTTTTCTTTCACTCTGTCTGTCAGTGTCTCTCTCTATCTATTCCTTTTTTTTTCTCTCACTCTCTCTGTCTGTCGGTTTATCTGTCTGTTGGTCTCTCTCTCTCTCTCTCTCTCTCTCTCTCTCTCTCTCTCTCTCTCTCTCTCTCTCTCTCTCTCTCTCTCTCTCTCTCTCTCTCTCTCTCTCTCTCTTTCTCTCTCTCTCGCTCTTCCTCTCTCTTTCTCTCTATATATGTGGATATATGTATGTCTATGTTCGTGTTACTCATCATCCTTACCTCTCGCCGTCCCTCCGCCAGCACTTCCTCGATCGACGAAGAGGGCGACGAGGAGGAGAGCGATGAGACGGACGCCCCCGCCACCCACGTCTTGGCTCGGGCCGCCCACGACACCGCCAGCGTGTGCAGCGACCCTGTCCCTTCACTCAGCCTGCCTACTGTGGACGGAGGTCACGCTAACAACCGATCTTATCCCAGGTAAATTCAGGCTCTTCTGGGCTCGCATGCTGGGTCAAGAAGGTCAAGGGACGTTACGTTTATACAGATGATTTCATTGATGACCGATGAATGAATGAATTTAAGTTGGCATCTGATCATATGTTATGCGCGTAGGGGCGTGAGAGAAACGCGTTGTACCAGTAACAACCTAGGCGTGCATGGAACGACTAATACAACTGTGTTACATTCACTACATCACTGTCGTTTCAGTGGAGTTAGGCAAGAATGACAAACATGGCAAGACTTTATTCCTATGGGTATTTATTGACTAATCTTCATGAATGAATGTGTGTTTCGAGGTTTGTTGATTAATAATACATACACGTCTCAAGCAACGTGAAGGCCGTTCATGTTGAGTCAGCGATTTTGAAGGCATGGGTACCGGAAGACTGGAGACAGAACGAAGTGGAAAAAGTCTGGGGAAGACCTATGGCCAACAGCGGATTTAACAGAGGAGGCTTAAAGAATATAATAAAATAGAATGATGCATGGACCTTTGATTCAGCTCGGTCCTTGAGATTCTGGGCGTCGCAAACCCCCCCGATTTAGAGAATGATTCCGGGTAGAACGACTTATTCTTGTTTCATCCAAATGAACAGAATTCCATATTCGGTTAGGGGTATTTTTGAGGGCCATAATTGCATGCATTATATTTCCAAGAGGAATTAGATTCTTCGTGTAGACGTAGCTGAAGAAATCTCGATTTGTAGTTGTCCACCGGAACAGAATTCTATTTTTGTTTTGATTTTCTGTTCTTTTTTCTCTCTCTCCTCTTGATCCTGCTTCTCCCGTTTCTCCCTGCTTCTCCATCATCCATTCCTCTTTCTCCTCGTCGCCTTTTCCTTCCACCTCCTCCTTCTCTCCCTTCTCTCTTAACCACAATGAAAGTGTGATTATAGGATGCAGAAAGTAATGAATAGCAAAGAAGGAGGGACCTTTGTGTGTGTTTCTCAAACATCTTACTAATAAATGAAGTTCGAAACTCTTTTTTTCTCTCTCCTTCCTCTTGTGAAAACGAGAGAGTGAGAGAGATAACAAAATAGAAAGGTCACGGTGAACTAAATCCTCAATATGTTGAAATAATTCTCTAGACCGCCCTGAAATATGTAAATTTATGCATGATTATCTTGAACGATGTAGCCAAATTTTAAATCTAAATTTATCCTAAATTTAGCCTAAACTAAAGGCAAGATGAGACCCATTCTGTCCAAACTTACTTGATCTAAGTCTAACAAAATAATCCTGAAATACTATTTTAACGATATGACTTGCCTAATGAAGATAAGTCTTCACCTAAAGTCATCTGATCGATCCTAACTTAACTAACCTTAATATCATGATCTCTCTCTCTATCTCTGTGAATATATATATATATATATATATATATATATATATATATATATATATATATATATATATATATATATATATATATGCATATATATATATATATATATATATTACATATTATATATATATATATATATATATATATATATATATATATATATAGAGAGAGAGAGAGAGAGAGAGAGAGAGAGAGAGAGAAAGAGAAAGAGAAGAGAGAGAGAAAGAGAAAGAGAAAGAGAAAGAGAAAAGAAAAGAGAAAGAGAAAGAGAAAGAGAAAGAGAAAGAGAAAGAGAGAGAGAGAGAGAGAGAGAGAGAGAGAGAGAGAAAGAGAAGAAAGAGAGAGAGAGAGAGAGAGAGGAGAGAGAGAGAGAGAGAGAGAGAGAGAGAGAGAGAGAGAGAGGTACACATAACTCCTCCAAAAATTAATTTACATATTTTCTTGTTCTCCTCGTCCTTGCTCCTGCACCCCCCGCACCCCAGCAGCCCGAGGGTGACGACCGCCGTCCGCCGCAACTCCTCGACCGGCATCCTGGCGGAGACGTCGCCCCTCGCCCTGGCCACCGCCCACGCCCTGCTCTCCCCCCGCAACGGTGCCAAACGCCCCGCACGGGCGCCCTCGCCCGACATGGACGCTGTCTACCACGGCCGCTCCATCACGCCCACCATCGCTGAGTTGCTGGCCGGAGGTAAGGGCGACTACGCGTGTTTGTGTGTGTGACAGTGTGTGTGTGTGTTTGTGACAGTGTGTTTGTATGTGTTTGTGACAGTGTGTTTGTATGTGTTTGTGACAGTGTGTTTGTATGTGTGTGTGTGTGTGTGTGTGTGTGATAGTTTCTGTGTGTGTGACACTGTGTGTGTGTTTGTATGTGTGTGTTTGTGACAGTGTGTTTTCGTTTGTGTGCGTAGCAAGAAGTATCAAAAGTATTTGTCCCAATAATAACCATAATGATAGCAGAATGGTAGCAGAAGCAGCAATGATGACATAACTATTAACTTAATTATGAATATAAAATTATTATCAATTTTGGGAACTAGTATTCATCAAGCAATTATTGACATCATTATCAGTGTCAATCAGTTTGTTAAGATTGTGCGAGGAGCGACCCAATGAATATTCCACATCCGGACACGCACATACCCAGAAACGAACGCATATCTATCAGCCTGTTCATTATCTACCGGACGGATATATAGAGATCACTGTATCCCAATCAGACAGAAAGATTCGGACCTCGCCCAATCTTAACCAAACCGCCCGCCCGCCATTTCTCCAACATATTTACGGTCATCTCCCCCCGCCCGTCCGCCATTTCTCCAACATACTTACGGTCATCTCCCCCGCCCGTCCGCCATTTCTCCAACATACTTACGGTCATCTCCCCCCGCCCGCCCGCCTACCCGCCCACAGTGTCGCCAGTCGCCCGCCCGCAGCTCGCCACCCGCTCCAGCACGCCCGACTCCCTGGCACGTGCCCGAATGCCCCGCTCGCTCAGCGCCCTCGAGTCGTACCACCGCTCCTCGCCGCTCGCCCTCGATCTCCCGTCCCGAAGCAAGAGCGTCCTCGACAAGCCCTCTGCCGCTCCAGGGTGAGGCTGCTCTTCTCGTATCTATATGTATATATATGCGTGTGCTTGTGTGCCTTTGTGCTGCTTTGTTCATTCGATCATCCATGCTCATTTACTCTTTTATCTAATGATTATTTCACAGACACAACAGGCAATGCTCTCTCAGACCAACCACAGAATCCGAGCCTTTCTCCACCCAAACAGAATCCAAAATAAATTAATTTCTCTCGTTTATCTCATCACCGAAAAAAAAAAATTAACAGATCAACGCCAACGAGAAGTCAGAGTCTGGACTTGAAGGACTTGACGGACGGCCACAGAAACGACGAGGTCCTCCACCTGTACACGCTCTCCACGTCCACTCTCCTCTTCCACCTGCTCCACTCGCTCTGGGTCGCGTCCACTCTGGTGAGCTGATGTTCCACTCGCTAGGTGGAGAGGAAGTGGATATGGAATGTTAAAAATTAGTGTTGCTTCTGTTTTATTTCATTTGTTGTTGGAGAGGGAGTAAATATGGGATGTAGAAATTACTGTTTCTGTTGTATTCCGTTTGTTGTTGTTGTTGTTATTGTTGTTTTTGGTGCGTCTGTTTATTTATTATGTGATAAAGAGATTCATCGGCCAATTGATCTATGTGTTTCCCTGTGCATGAAATCAATATGTAAAACAGACATGGATTCTTAGTAAATCAAACGTATGCCTCTGACCCAAATATCTTAAAACCAGCTAGTATATCTTGTAAATTTATTATGAATTTAAATTTAAGTGTATCATGAACTTTAAAAAGAAAAACAAAGCCAATATCCTTAAACGTACAAAATAATAAGAATAAGAATAAGAATAAGAACAATAATGAGAACAATAATAAGAACAACAGTAATAATAATAATGATACTAATGATAATAATAATAATAATAAATGAAAACGTGAGAAAACCAACACAACAAACTATACAGTCAAACCCGTAAAACCCCCGTTCCCCCAAACAAACAATAAAACCCCCGAACCCCCGCCCAAACACAAAACAACAAAAAACCCCGTTTTTCCCGTTCCCCCAACACAAAACAAAAAACCCCCGTTCCCCAACACACAAACAAACAAAAAACCCCCGTTCCCCAAACACAAAACAATAAAACCCCGTTCCCCAAACACAAAACAATAAAAACCCCGTTCCCAACACCACAATAAAACCCCCCGTTCCCCCCAACAAAACATAAAACCCCCGTTCCCCCAACACAAAACATAAAACCCCGTTCCCCCAACACAAACCAATAAAACCCCCCGTTCCCCCAACACAAAACAATAAAAAAACCGTTCCCCCAACAAAAACACAACCCCGTTACAAAACAATAAAACCCCCGTTCCCAACACAAACCAATAAAACCCGTTCCCAACACAAACAATAAAACCCCCGTTCCCCCAACACAAAACAATAAAACCCCCGTCCCCCAACAAAACAATAAAACCCCGTTCCCCAACACAAAACAATAAAACCCCCGTTCCCCCCAACACAAAAACAATAAAACCCCGTTCCCCCAACACAAAACAAACAAAACCCCCGTTCCCCCACACAAAACAATAAAACCCCCGTTCCCCCAACACAAACCAATAAAACCCCCGTTCCCCCAACACAAACCAATAAAACCCCCGTTCCCAACACAAACAATAAACCCCCGTTCCCCAACACAAACCAATAAAAACCCCCGTTCCCCCAACACAAAACAATAAAACCCCCGTTCCCCCAACACCAAAAATAACAACACAAACCAATAAAACCCCCGTTCCCCCAACACCAAACAAAAACCCCGTTCCCCCAAACAACAATAAAACCCCGTTCCCCCAACACAAACCAATAAAAACCCCCGTTCCCCCAACACAACACAATAAAACCCCCCGTTCCCCCAACACAAAACAATAAAACCCCCGTTCCCCCAACACAAAACAATAAAACCCCCGTTCCCCAAAACACAAAACAATAAAACCCCCGTTCCCCCAACCAAACAATAAAACCCCCGTTCCCCAACACAAAAACAATAAAAACCCGTTCCCCCAACACAACCAATAAAACCCCCGTTCCCGCAACACAAAACCCTCCAAACCGCCGCCAACACGCCACCTCCTCCTCTGAAGGTCCTCCTCGAACAGAAACAGACGCAGACCGCCGCCGTCTCCGGCCCGCCTCCACGACGTCTCGCACGAACGGACACTCGACCTCACCTTCGGCCAGCTGAGGAACGAGCTCCTCACGTCCGCGTCGCTGGAGGAGCAGTTCTCCGTCCTGCAGGAGCTCCAGCAGGGGGTCGTCAAGTACAGCACCATCAGGAGGCTCGTGTGGAGGGTGGGTTCTTGTGCTATGAGTCGGGGGGGGGAGGGGGGTACGTGGATTATACATATATATGTACATGTATACGTAAATACATACGTATATACATACATATTATCTATCTATATGAGCGACTGCGACCGCGTGTGTGTGTGAGAATGTGTGTGTACATACATACGTACATGATATATATAAGTATATATATATATATATATTATATATATATATATATATATATATATATATACATGTATATATACATGTGTATGTATATATATATATATATATAATATAATATATATATATATATATATATATATATAATATATATATATATATTGATGCTATAAAAAGGAGATGGAAGGAATATTTTGAAAACTTAATGAATGTAGAGAACCCAAGAGTGGAAACAGGAGCGGGCTTACCAACAGAGAGGAGGACTGATAACATATCACGTAGAGAAGTGGAAAAGGCGCTGAGATTAATGAAATCAAACAAAGCTGTTGGACCGGATAACATCCCGATAGAAGCATGGAAAAGCCTTGGGGAGGCTGCTGTAGATGTTTTGTGGGATCATTTAAATAAATATATGAGAAGAGAAAATTCCATCGGAGTGGAGGAAGAGCACTATTGTGCCCATATATAAACAGAAGGGTAACATCCAGGACTGCACTAACTACAGGGGAATTAAATTGATCTCACATACAATGAAGCTTTGGGAGAGGACTATTGGAATGAGGATCGAGGCTGAAACGGTCATCAGTGAGAACCAGTTTGGATTTGTTAAGGGAAGACAGACATCAGATGCTATTTTTGCCTTAAGACAGACAATGGAAAAGTACAGGGAGAAACAGAAGGGACTGCACATGGCTTTCATTGACCTCGAGAAGGCGTATGATCGTGTACCGAGGTCAGAGGTATGGAGGTGCATGAGAGAAAAGGGAGTGAGCGAGAAGTATGTAAGATTGGTTCAAGATATGTATAGAGATGTAACATCACAAGTTAGTAGTTGCGTCGGATAACGGATGAATTTAACATCAAAATAGGACCAGGGCTCTACTCTCAGTCCGTATATATTCGACCTTATAATGGACGTTCTAAGCGAAGGGATTCGAGAGGAGGCACCCTGGACAATGTTATTTGCAGATGACATTGTCTTGGTGTGTAATACAAAAGAATCATTGAGAGACAAACTTTCGCAATGGAAGAGGGCTTTGGAGGACCGAGGCTTGAAGATAAGCAGAACAAAGTCTGAGTACCTCTCATTTAATGATTTTGAGGAGGAAAATGGGGTGGAAATGGATGACGAGATCATTAAGAGGGTACCAGCTTTTAAATATCTAGGCTCACATGTGACAGAGGACGGTGAACTGGATGTAGAAGTAAATCAACGCATTCAGTCAGGGGTGGCAGGCATGGAGAAGGTTTTCAGGAGTACTCTGCGACAAGAAGATCAGCGCAAGACTCAAAGGGAAGGTTTACAAAACAGCTGTGAGACCTGCTATCCTTTATGGGAGCGAGACATGGCCAATTAAGAGGGTGCATGAAAAGAAGGTGAATGTAGCAGAGATGAGGATGTTAAGGTGGATGTGTGGTGTCACGAGGAAGGATAAGATCAGGAATGACTACATCAAAGGTACAGTCAAGGTCACAGAAGTGAGTGCAAAGATGCAAGAAAGAAGGATTAACTGGTATGGGCATGTCATCAGAAGTGAAGAAGGCTATATTGGAAACCAAGTTTGGAAATGCACATGGATGGACGTAGAAGGAGAGGTAGACCCAAATTAAGTTGGAGGGAAAGGCTAAAAGAAGATCTGGAAGACAAGGGACTCAGAAGGGAAGATGCAATGGACAGAGCAAGATGGAAGAGGCTAGCGAGGAACAGTGACCCCATATAGAAATGGGAATAAGCTGAAGAAAAAGAAAGAAGAAAGAAGAATATATATAATATATATATATATATATATATATATATATATATATATATATAATATATATATATATATATATATATATATACATATATATGTATAAATAGATAGATAGATAGATAGATAGATAGATATAGATATAGATAAATACATAGATAGATAGATAGATATAGATATAGATATAGATAAATACATACATACATAGATAGATATAGATATAGATATAGATAAATACATAGATAGATATATAGATATAGATACAGATAAATACATAGATAGATAGACAGATAAATATATGAATATACATATATATCCCTCCTCACCTGCCTCACGCCCTCAGGACCCTGACCTGATCGAGGTCATGCGGAGCTTCGTGAGGCGCTACATGAAGCCCAGCGGCCCCCAGCAGGTGTCGGCGGCCGAGGATCCCGAGGAGGCGCTGCAGAGCCGTCAGGACGAGCTCGAGATGCTCGCCCTCACCCTCGAGACGCTGGCGACCTGCACGCAAGGCTCTCAGCGGTGCCCTCACAAGATGAAGGTATTTGCCCCTCTCGTGGGTCGTCTCCGGTGGCCTCTCTGGCTGTGTTTCTATCCTCACTGTCTTTCTTTCTTTTCTCTCTCTCTCTCTCTCTCTCTCTCTCTCTCTCTCTCTCTCTCTCTCTCTCTCTCTCTCTCTCTCTCTCTCTCTCTCTCTCTCTCTCTCTCTCTCTCTCTCTCTCTCTCTCTCTCTCTCTCTCTCTCTCTCTCTCTCTCTCTCTCTCTCTCTCTCCCTCTCCTCTCTCTCTCTCTCTCCCTCTCTCTCTCTTTCTCTTACTCTCACTCACTCTCACTCTCACTCACTCATTCTCTCTCTATCTATTTATCTATCTATCTTCTTCAGATACGACTGATCGCAACATCAAATCTGAAGATGCAATGCCACCGTATATAAAACCCTAAGCTCTGCTTCCCCTAAACTCCCCCTTTAATCAGTCGAAAATCCTTTGCAACTGCAGGTCCTGAAGCGCAACAAATTCGAGTGTCTCAAAGGGTTGATCGCCGAGGTCATGACCTGCCCCGAAGTGCCCGCCCCTTACACCCTGACCTGCACTCGCTGGCTCACGGACTTCAGAGACCTGTCCTCGCACGCCTGGGAGAACCTGCCCGAGAGCGAGGTAATTCGTCGTGTTATGCTGATTCTCTTATGCTTCTTGTAGTGGATTGGAGGTTCAGATGCTAATAGCTTTGGTTGTGTCTTTTTTTTCCTGGTGTATTATGCAGTAAATTATTTCAGATTAGATTAATGTGAAAACTGAAGGAGATGTCGGTATAAGTTTTAG